GACAAACAGTTGATGGTTGCCCTGGACACGCACTGTAGTCTCTTGAGATACTCCCTGTCTACATTAATTTATTTATGCACTCTTCTGGATAGGAAGGAAGTGTACAAACCAAGCATAAATAGGGCTATCTTCTATGTCTGGGAAGTGAAAAAAAATCCAGGTTACCACAAGATGGCAATGAAAGAAAAAAGGATGCTGAATTGCTTCCATCAAGTGTTTGTTTGGATTTTCACAGTCCAGATGGAATAACCTTAATTCTGAATATTGCCATTCATAAATTTCTAAGAGTACTCTACAAGGCCTATGTGCAATCCAAGGCCACCATTGGAAATAATTATGATACTGTAGGCCACTATCTTTTTTTCTTTTTAATGAAATATGTACAGAAGGGAACAAGTAGTAAGACAAAGAGAAGGAGGAACAAAAGACCTACAGGTACCACAAGACATATCTATACATACATTGAGAGCAATATTGGGGATCTCAGATTTAACAGGTTTTTGAATACAGTTTCTTTTGTTTAATACGCTCAACCTATCAAACAAAAAAACCATATCTAGGTCTACAAAAAATACAAAATACAGAATAACACAGTTGGAAGGGACCTTGGAGGTTTTCTAGTCCAACCCCCTACTCAAGCAGGAGACCCTATACATTTTGGACAAATGGCTGTCCAATCTCTTCTTGGAAAATCTCCAGTGATGGAGCAACCAGTTATGGATGTTTCATTACAGTCTTCCCCAACTGGAATCCTTCCATGTAGACTACAATTCTGAGCCTTTCACGTTGACTGTCCATAGTTATAGAAATCTAGTTTGTTAAGCAAAAATGGCTGGTTTCATATATAAACCCAATCAATAAACCACATCCAACAAATAATAATGGTTGGGTTCACGTAACACACTAAGAGAAAGTCAAACAAACTGTATGATGGCTTATTGTAATCTATAAAACCGGCCAATATAACTTCATCATATTCCTTTAAGGACACCGTTTGGGTATTTTTCACCAAAAAACCATCGGGGTCCAAAATACTTATAGCTTTTATTTTTGTCCCCTATAACCCTGGAATATAACAACATAGTGTTCCTATTTTATATCTAAGAAATTTACTGAAATAATTATCATTCCTAGAGTTGATAATAGAATGATATTTGAAATATGTCTCTCTAGCAAAAATCCAATGGTTTTGATCGAGAAAGGACCAGTGGAAGTGGGGAAATGTTGAAGGTTTTTTTTTTTCTTCAAGCGATATTATTCAATTAAATAATTCAGGACAATGGTATTCCTTAAAGAGAAAACTAAACAACCTGTTTGCATTTTGTAGGGCATTAAACATGTGTCGATCAATATAGTCAGTGTTTGGATGTTCGGACTGCTAATCCAAAACCTGACGTGGTGAGAGGCAGTGCCCACTGGCTGGTCACATGGACAGTTTTTTAAGGGCAAATAATGCTGTCTCTTTTATCAGCCCACTGCAGCTATTTTGGGTCACTAGCATGTATGTGTCAGAACCTAAACTAGATTTTTAAAAAGTCACATATTCCACCTACAACATCTCCACATGAAGCCTGCCCTGATGATGATCTATGCAAATCAGAAATAGTAACACCAAACCAGATGATTCAATTAACTGATTCAGAAAGAGGCTTCCTATATCCCTATATGGGGCCTAGAATGCACTTGTGGACCATTTGGTGGGTTGTAAACTATGTATTGCTGCATAAGTAAGATTAAATAATGCAAACATTAATGTGCAAACATGTTATATACTGTAAATACATTTATGCAAGTTATGTATTTCTTCATTAACATTGAATAAGGTCACAAGCCTTTAAAAGAAAAAAAATCTCAAACTGAATAGCAGGGAAGAAAATATCCTCAGAAACTTATATATAAAGCTGGGAACTTTATAGATTCATCAGTTTTAACTAAAGACAGTTTCCCCTGAATTCAACGAAAATGTCTCGCAAGATAATATATTTATATTTAAGATTTCTACTTCAATATCTTTATATAAACACAATTATTTTACAAAGTTGCAAAGTTGCAAATTCCTACTTCATTTTCTTTTTTAAACTCTTGAATATTTTTAAAGCTTTTCTTGTTGTGTTATATTTTTATTATATCTATGCAATACAGCTACAATTTCATTTTCCTAACATTTATATACAGAGTACCACTACATTACCTGTCTATAATCTGCCAGGATCAGTGCTAGGATGTCTAATGGCTGGAGCTGATGGGAGCTATAATCTATCTCATTCAGGAGGATACCAGGCTGGGGCAAACTAAGAGAAATCAGTTTTGATGTTCTTGATGGAAACCTTTCTACCAGAGACATCTGGGAATGGAAGAAGGGGAAAGAGAAGTTTTTTTTAAACAGTTAAGATGGAAACCACAACTACTCAAACAAGGCCCTATACCTTTTTTGGTAGAACTGTTACATATAAAGTTTATTGCTCATTGAACAAGACATTTAGAGAGGTATACAATATGCCTTCTCAATGTGATTTATCAAAATGCCACAATCTCAAGAGATCTACTGAAAACTTAAATATGATGTGGATATTAATAGGACCATATAAGAGTTAAAACATTATTTTACCATAGTTCCAACTGATCACAGTTTTTCCTAAAAGTGGCATAAAAATGAAGTGACAGAAATCATTAGAAAAGGAGAAACTATCAGATTTTCTAATTATTGTTAGAAGAGAAGAAATTATCAGAAATTATCACATCAGCATCACTGTCGCTGAAATAAACATTATTTATTGTTAGATAACCCCTCAAAGTGTATTTATTTACCAAGAGTAATTAAAGTAACTTATCTCTTTTAACACAGTGCAGCTTACTTCTGAATGCACTACCCCATCAGGACTGCTGGATTGCAGGATTAATAGAAGTTGTAAAGTGAACAGAATAGTCATCCGATCTTTGCCATAGAATCTCTTCCTCTAATTTGTTGGGTTTTTTTTGGGGGGGGGGTCTTAGTTGGACCGGCTACAAGGATGCTTCTATCTGGGCACATTGTTTTTACACATAGATCTACAAGTGTGGTTTTGTGTGCACAAATTCACTAACACTTCCTTGCCTGAATAAGTCAATATTGCCTTAACCCCTTAATATAATTGCTGCAAATGCTGCTGTTCTCCTCTGCCCTTTACATGGCAGAGGAATGCAAAAAGACTCCAGCAGTCCCAAGTGGTTTCCCCCTCCCAAAGCGTTAAAAGAAAAAAATGCAACATCAACACCAGTTCTTCCCCACTAATGGAAATGGCATGAGTGCTTTTTACTTGCTGGCTACAGGCCCTTCTGAAACCGTTACACAAGAAAAAAAAAACACTGGGAAGAGAAAGGGAGGAAATAAATACAGGCTGTGTGTCAAACTATTCCATTCCTTAGTTTGGAGAGGTGCCGGGTTATGTCCTGCTCCCCTTGACTTTCAAAATGGGATGGGAACAAACCTTTCCGAAAGGAAAAGAAAAGGCTTTTTTCAAAATTACAAGCCCCCCCTCCCCCCAGCATTCTTTCCTTAAGTACTTGAAAGACTGTCTAGAAGTGGAGATTTTGACTCCAGCCAGAGAAATACAGCTAGGAAAAGGAAATACGTCAAATCTGATCGAAAATGTGTGAGCTTCAGAACACATATGTTTGTATTGGCAAGCAGGAAAAGATTCTGTAATACATGCAGCAACAGCCACACACACACTTTGCGTAAGATGTGCATCACACCATTCAACATTTATTAGCCAAATGAGAAAAAGAATACAATCTTAAGAAATCTGCAAGATTTTTTTTTTTAATGCAGAGGAACTTCCCAGGACCCAAGGAAGGACCAAAACATTGAATAATTGCAATCAAAACGTAAAAATAAGCCATAACAGCCTCTCCCCCAAACAATCTCTTTTAATCTTTCTCTGAAATAGGTAAGAATAATCAGTTATAAACCACGCAACTGGCACTGATGGTGCCTATCCAAAACTTGATTAAATAGGGAACCACAAGATTCTACTCTAGATAAACCCAAAGAGCAAAGGAATCCTTACATTAGATAAGGGAAGATGTTTTTGGTGATGGTGTTAGTAGAGATTTCTTTAAATCAAAACTGTATTCCACCCCCACCCCCCTTGGCAGGATGAGATCCCTCACAAGCCCAGCCCTAAAGATTTTTCCATTCTCTGTAATAAAGCATACAAAGCTGGAACAGCATCTCTCCTGCCAACATCTCCTCCTCTTCCTTCTATCTTTCCTAGCACTGTGGCAGGAAGAATAGCAAAAAAAAGAAGAAGGAAGGAAGGAGGGAGGGAGGGAGACGGGATTTATCACCAAGCAGAACACCCCCTATATCTTGAATACACAGCCAGCCCAAATGGTGCTAGCAAAGACAACAGCCGCCATCGAGAATCACTTCCCCACCCCCTTCAGCGCAATGACATTAATAACCAGTTTCTGAAGAAACTAGAAAGAACGGAGGAATAAATGCAGTCCTGCCTCCGCTCCCCTCGGACCCAGAGCTCCAAGGGGAAAGAGCGTGAAAGGAAAAAAAAGGGGGGGGAGAGTGATCTCAGTAGGGATATTGACAACCCCCCCGCCGCCACCACCACATACACACCCCATTTCTTTGGCGATGTCACCCACATACCAGGAGGAACTGACGCCCACAAGAATCAACTGACACATGCCAAATCTAAACACACCCACCCACCCACCCACACGCGGGAAGGCGAGACCCTGCACACTGCGGAGGAGACAGATCCACCTTCCAGGTAGCGCCTGCACATTTACGCGCACCCCAGCCGCCCAGCCGCTTCCCTTGCTCAGGAGGACCCAGAAATTCCCCAGCGGAAGATGGGCGCTCCCTCTCCCGCCAAACCTCTCCTGATCTGGGCTGCCGGTGCCGGCGCAGTGCCGTGCGCCCCGAGGAGGGACCACTGAACAACCTCGGGGTCCGGCCGCGGAGGGCTCGCCCCGCCATCCCCGCGCCGGCTTCGCCTTACCTTCCGACAATTCCAGCTCCAGCTCGGCCAGCCGCGCTCTCACTTCCAGCGGCAGAGAGAGGCTCTCCAAGCTGCGATCCGCCATAGTCGATCCCGGGAAGGCGATCTTCTCGCTCGCCCTGCGCCCTTCTCTGCCGCGCCGGGTGCGCCCGGGGGTCTTTGTTCGCGACCCGCGCACACAAACACACCGCCCCGGAGGGAAGACGGGAAAGGAAGAGGCGGGCGAGCGGGTGGCAAAAGCACAAAAGCGCCCGGCCCTCCCCACCCCCGCGCGCCGGACTCGGGTGCCCGAGTGATCGCGCGGGCTCAGCTGGGAAGGAGCCCCGCGACGCGCAGCGCCAGCCCTGCCCAGCCCAGCTCCACCAGGGATGGGCTGGAGGAGGGTATGCAGAGCGCTCTCCCTCCTCCCTCGCCGCCGCTTCAGTTCAGCCCCGCCATGGTGGCGTGGCTGCTGTTGCGGCTGCTGCTCTTCACACCGCCTCCCAATCTAGGCAAGCCTTCGGCGGGGTAGCGCGGAGCCGAGCGGGCCCGCTGCAACCTCGCCGCTGCCACCCTCCCGGCTTCACGCACTGGGCGCAGCAGCAGCGGCGGCGGCGGCGGCGGCAGCGGCAGCAGCAGCAGCAGCGCGCTCCCCCTCGCTCCACCCCGGCCGCGCGGCGGCGAGGAACTGCGGTGCCGCGGCGGGGGCGGCTCGCTTCTGTCACTCGCGCACGTGACCCGGTTGGGCGCAACGGGGACCGCGGGGGGGCGCTAGAGCAAGCGCGCCCCCGGGGAAGCCCCCTCCTCTTTTCCCAGCCAGTCGGCCAGCCGGCTAGCCAAGCTGCAAGCGCGCCTCCGCGCCCAAGGAAATGGGGAGGCTCCCATGGCCCGAAAAAAGATAGCGCGCGGGAAGAGGGTTCCCTGGGCGCGGGCCTGGTGGTGGAGGTGGCCTGTGTACACGTGTAACGGGGGGCGCATCCCCGCACCACACTGATTTTACACCGGCTTCGGTGGAATTCGCAGACGTTGCAAAGGAGTGATGAAGAAACGATCTTCATCTGGTGTTTCTTCCCCGGGATTGTGGTGATGGTAATTTCATCGACTATCTAGCCAAACGGTCTCCAGATTGTTTTATAAATATGAAGCAATACTGTACAATTTTATGCATCCTAAGATTACAAAATCACTCTAAAGTAAGTTAGGGTTATGAACAGCAGTGTAAATTTAGGCCGGATAATCCTGCAGCCAGAGGATCTGAGTTGGTCAATCGTTTCAACCTCATTCTCCATGAAAGTTCTACAAACTTTGCAGGATGGAGTTAAAAGTGTCTGCTCCGGTGAAGGAGAGCCACCTGTCTCCTATGGCAACCTCCTTTCCCACTATTGAATAACCATTAGGATGTTTTTCCTAAAAGTTTAGCCAAAATCTGCTTCTTTGCTGTTTCCATCCACTCCAGGCTTACCTTCTGGAGCAACTGAGAAAATCTGCTTATGTGCTTGCTTGCTTATCCATCCATCCATCCATCCATCCATCCATCCATGCTGCCACCTTTATTACTTTATAAGTAACTCAAGGTAACAAGCATATCTAATACTTCTTCTTCCTCCTGTTTTCCCCGCAACAACCCTATGAGATGGGTTGAGTTGAGAGAGAGTGACTTGGCCCAAGGTCACCAGCCAGCTTTGAAGGCATCCTCTAACCAAAGATTCACAAAAAGTGTGGGGTCTACTCTCAGCCTACCACTTACACATGTTCCCCATGATCAGCTGGCCAAATCAAATCCACATCACTTTTGCATCCACAGGTGCTTTACAAGAATTGATCAGAGCTGCTTTATTGAAGCATTCAAATTATAAGTCTAGTAGTTATGTGAGTACTAAAATGCAGAAAATGAACAATATTGAACAGGTTTCAAATGCTGTTACTGAGTGAAAATCCACATGTGAATCTGTGGATCTGTGATCTTGCACAAGCTACAAGGAAAGGTGTAAATAGGAAATGCAATGATAAATATCAAAAACTGAAATTTAATTGAGCTTGGGATCTAATAATTTAGATTAGATCCTATTACCTATTACTACTACTATTTTATATTGAAGAATATTCTGTTGAAAAGTTTATGCTAAGCAACTTTATACCAAGAGCTATTATTAAAATGTCAGGTGCACAAAATGAGATTAGTTAATTTTTAGATTTAAAATTTTCACACATATTTTGGCAATCACGGTAAATCCTTCAAAAAATCAAAGGTTTCCCAAATACAATTATAACTTTACTCACTGAAAAACGTAAACTCCCGTGATCTTAAAAATGCAAACTTGAACATGTGGTTTGCTTTATAGGGCAGCATCCACATTTTCTAAACATTGAATTATAACAACTTTGAGGAACATTATTGTAAACATACCCACTCTTTCCACTATTCTTCATAAAACCTGGTTTCCAAAACCTCTCACTGCTTTCTTTAGGATACACATTGATTTATCGAATGTAGTTTTGATTAAGAATTTTGATTACAATTTTACAATTACAAACTAAACTTAGAGAAAAAGAAGAGAAGAAAAGGTTCAGGGAAGGAAAGGAGGAAGGAAGGAAGGAAGGACTGTAAGAAAGAAAAAAATCATAAAGAAGTGTCTTCCAGTTTTCATCACAAGTGTAAACAAATTTAATAACTCTTTGCCCCCTATAAGGTTACAAGCAGTATCTTTTAATCCCATATCCCACCTCTTATCTATAAGCATATCTGTAAAACATGCAGAAGAGAATTTATGTCCGTGCATTTTTGAGTGTCTTCTCTCTGGTGATCTTAGTTTTAGTAGTTCAGTAAGAAATGGGGACCAAATGCAAATCAGATCACATAATTAAAATTTAGGTGCTTGGCAACCGGTAAGTAATTGTGACACTTGCAGCATCCCAGGGTCTTGTGATTGCCATTTGAGACTTTTCAAGGCAGTTTCCAATAAGCAAAGTCAATGGGGAAAGCCAGATTCGCTTAATGACACATGATTCACTTAACAACCACAGTGATTTGCTTATGGCAAAAAGGTCATAAAATGAGACATAACTCACTTAACAACTGCCTTGCTTAGCAATGGGAAATCGTGGGCTCCATTGGGGTTGTAAGTCAAAGACTACTTATATCTGACCTTGAACTCTTTGAAGGAAAAGAAGTAATTATTGTATTGTATTGTATTGTATTGTATTGTATTATTATATTATATTATATTATATTATATTATATTATATTATATTTATATTATATTATATTATATTATTATATTATATTATATTATATTATATTATATTATATTATTATATTATATTAATTATATTATATTATATTATATTATATTATATTATATTATATTATATTATATTATATTATATTATATTATATTATATTATATTATATTATATTATATTATATTATATTATATTATATTATATTATATTATTATTATATTAATTACATAGATATGTATGTTTTCTTATTGTCCATAATCTTTATCTTTTCTTACTGTTTCCACCTCAAAGCCTATTTATCCATGGGTCACTTCCTTGACCCTTGAATATCCCTATAACTTTTTGAAAACATTTCATTTGTATTTATTTCCTCACCTCTGCACTCTGCAACAAAATAAAATTGATTTTGCTGTTCAGCAAAGTCCTACAGTAGTCCTGTTATTTCTATTATTAAGCATAATTCAGGCCAAATTTAGCTTCCATAAAGACGTGATGTCAGTTTTTGTAGAGTTAGACTTAAGGTTGGGGAGATGAAGGACCAGAGGCATGCATATACAGCATGGCATTGAAAACAAAACTTCTTGCAATTGATTTAAGATTTTGTTCTTTTAAAAAAAAAATCTGCCTCCACCCTAGATACATTATGAACTCAGATATCAACCTGTAGAACCAGAAAACTGTAAATAAATATGCTGCAAAACCTGTTTGCCAGAAGTGACAGCTGTACAGAATAAATCTATATATAATACCAGTATTATTAGTTTTTTTAAAAATTAAAAAAAACCTTAGTTTTATACCAATACACTATTTCTGTCATAGGAAAGCATATTTTCAATAGCCATAATCACTTGGGGCAATATTTTAGCTGATTAATTTGAATGCCATGAATGCCATGCAAATTTTGATCCATCTGAACATGGTCAAGGCTGAGCAAATAAGATATTATGAAGGGAGCATTTTTAATCAAAATATAATTTAATTTGATTGTAGCTCCATTAGCTTTTATACCGTTTGCCTTCAGCTTCTCACATCACCCAACCAAAAGCAAGTTGAGACTGACCTGGCTCCATGCTGAAATCTAAGAGTAAGTCTAAAGGCTTCTTTGGAGAAATGGTGTTTTAAAGCTGTCAGGTCTGAATTGTCGCACTAGAAAATTTTCATATCTCTTTGCCACCATTTAATGGTTATTTCCACCTTTGCAATTTTGACCTGGTGACTCTAGCTTCATAAATTCAGTCATGTTCTACACAAACAGTTCCCACTTCTGTCTTGAAACCACTTCCAATGTTGCTTTAGTACAGTATTTCTCAACCTTGGCAGGTTAAAGAGGTGTGAACTTCACCTCCCAGAATTCCCCAACTGGTTGGGGAATTCTGGGACTTAAAGTCCATGCCTCTTCAACCTGCCAAGTTAGAGAAACACTGCTTTAGCACTAATTCGCTGGGCTGCATTAACAGAGGGATAGAATCAAGATCACATGAAGTATTAATACCACTTTACGATGCCTTGGTAAGGCCACACTTGGAATACTGCATCCAGTTTTGGTCACCACGATGTAAAAAAGATGTTGAAACTCTAGAAAGAGTATAGAGAAGAGCAACAAAGATGATTAGGGGACTGGAGGCTAAAGCATATAAGGAAAGGCTGCTGGAATTGGGTATGTCTAGTTTAATGAAGAGAAGGACGAAGGGGGACATGATAGCAGTGTTCCAATATCTCAGGGGCTGCCACAAAGAAGAGGGAGTCAAGCTATTCTCCAAAGCGCCTGACAAAGCAGGACAAGAAGCAACGGATGTAAACTAATCAAGGAGAGAAGCAACCTAGAACTAAGGAGAAACTTCCTGACAGTTAGAACAATTAACC